AAACTGGTTCGACATTCGACGATGTTGCTCCTAGGCCCGTTCAGGCTCTGGGTTTACGTTAGTTGGAGAGAATTTAATTGGCAGGAATTCATCGATCGGATTTTTCCTTTCTTTCTGTACACCAGAACATCAACAGTTCAAATGGTCATCGAGCCAGAATCTTGTGAACACCTCCATGAGAATCACTTGACAAAATTCATAGCTTTCAGGGCTGCCAAACTCATGGAATATTGACACTTTGATTGACCTTGATAGGCACATTCGGCACAGCACTTGGCACAGCTTTCGGCACAGCTCAATAACTCGGCATAGATTAAGGTGTGCAGAGTTGACTACCCTTTGGAAAATGTCATTTTTATACTTCGCTAGTTTGAAACATTTTAGCAGGTACCTAAAAAAATTTAATTATTGGGAAATTTTTGACATTTTGATAAAGTTTTACTTAAGGGGAAGTTCACGGCTCGGAAAAAAATAATAAGGTTTTGATTTTTATAAAAATATTTAAAAAAATATCATAAATCATAGAAACAAAAAACAATTTTTTCTAATATTTTAAAGAAAATTCACCAGCAATTTTTTTTTTTTTTGCAAGTCATCATGGCATAATGTTGGATCTCAAAATACACAAAACAATGACCTTTCGGTTTTGCTGAGAGTCAATTTTTTTAATGATGAAATAAGTAAACTTCTTCTTAAGCTTACACTTCTGAGCGAAAAACGAAAAAAAAAATGTGATAATTATAATTCCTGAGAAATTTATTTGATAGCCGATGTTTCATTTTCAGTGAGTCTAATGTCTTTGACAACATTTCTCATAACTAAAAAATACACAACTTTGCCAAAAAAAATCATTCTTGTAGGACGCTCCGCTAAAAATATAAATTTGGAAGCCACCATTTTGCAGCAATACGACCTAATCAGAAACCACCAAAAGCTGGCCGTATTTAAACTAAACAACTTTGTCGAAGACTGCAATCTGAAGGATGAATATACCCATGGGGCTAGAGGTTTTGGCCACGCTACCACGATCTTTGCCCCACTGTGCACCGTCGACACAAACCAATCAAGGCTAGATTATCTTTATTAGCGAGACTTTCAGCCAGATGCTGGTTCATCTCTTGACGAATATTGGGGACTCCAGAAGGGGTCCCCTTAGTGACAGAGTTTGAAATAGCGGTGGGGAGCCAGAAAGGACCCCCTAGTTATAGAGTTAATGAGGTGAGGTATCCAGAAGGGACCCACTAATTAAGAGGAGTGGACAGTCCACAAGAGACCTCCCAAGAGACTTCCCAAGTAGTAGATGTTCCTGGTTTGGTGCATTTGGTCGGCTAATTGTTATGGCGGTGTATTCGGAGTCCGGTATAGAGGTTGATCCTGGCTCGATGCAGTGGGTCGGTTATGGTTGGTTCTTGTGAGTTAGGTCAGATGTTCTTCGGTTGTTAGCCAGCTGCTTCGGATGAAGGGTCATTGGCCAAGGCATTTCTAATGTTCGTCGGGATCCCATAAAGATCCCCAATTCCCTGGAAACCTGGGCAATCCACTAAGAGGTGCTCTACCGTCATCGTTGTGTTGCAAATATCACAGTGTTTTCGGAACGAAGTCGCACTTCCCATATTGTGGGTCGTCTGAGTATGTCCTGAGTGGAGACAAGAAAGAATCAGTTGGTCATGACGGTTTGGGGAATCTTTCACTTGGTGGTTTCCCCTTTGATTTTACGGAGGAACGGTTCCCTTTTGCTGGCCCACTCCTGGGCCTAAGCATTCCGAAGTTCGAACTTCATCCAAGTCTTGCTATCAGGTCCTGGAACGGTTTTAGTAGTGCTGGTTCAATTATGCTGATTAACAATTTATGCGCCAATATTAATTAGCTGCTAAAAACTATTTACACCTTGTTGAATACCATGTTTGTGAATGACAGACTAACCAGCATCAGTGAATCAGCACAACTATAAACCGGACAACAGGCTAGCGAAAAATAACGCCACACCATATAGACCACAAACCCTTGTACAAATGCTACTGAGCTACACATCGCCAGCAGCCGTAACTCGTACAAAGTGTTGACCTTTCACAAAACCCGATATAGAAAAGTACCCACACAACATAAAATCAGGCATAACATTTGATAACGGCACAAAAGCATTTGTAAACAAGCTTTCTAAGGCCCTTTACACACGAACCAAAGTACGCCCAAGCAAACCAACAATATCATCGGATAGGGGCAACTATCACCTTTCCGAAAGTGGTATTGGTTTGCGTTAGCGTACTTTGGTTCAAAAAGGGTTTCGCTCAAGGTGCACTCGAGAGTGCTCTCAAGCAGTTCTCAACAAAATCTTGAAAAAGCTAAAATCTGACGCGAATCTTTCCGACTTAAGTCAAACTTTGTCTATGTTTTCAACAGGAGGTAATATGAATCTTCCATAGCTATTTAGACCATTTGACTCAAGCGTCATATTTTAAAATGGCGTATGTATTTTCATGGGTACTAGGTTTGAGAGATTGATTCTCAAAAACTATTGATTGTTCCGAAATGGTGATGAGTTATAGAGGATTGATTTTAAAACGTAAAAAAATATTAAAAACTAAAAATAATTATTGAAAAACTTGATTTAATTTTTTTCTAGCAAAACGCGAAGTCAAATAGAGACTATTAAAAATCATTCTGATATGGTGTAAAATGTATTATCACATTTCGAAGAAGACCAAATTTTCATTCAATTTGCAAACATAGAGGGTACAAACAGTACGTACTGTCTCTTTCTGAGAAAACGATGTGCCGCGAAATCATTTGAGTACTGATTTCTCTATGCGCCATCTATGTTTACAAACAGAATATGGGAGACAACTCTCAGTCACCATTAATCCTGTGATAATGATAAGCTTAAACCAGCACCACTAGAGCAGTCACGCTATCTACCAGCCACCCTTTATACCTAAACCTATACCTATACCTCGGTTTATACCTCTGACAGACATGATTGTAGAAACGTTGGACTCATTTAATCTATAACCACAATCGACGAACTAGCTCAAAAGAGCACAACGTTAGTACAATTATGTCTGTCACAGGTATTATATAGAGCTATTTGGCCTCGTCTTTTACTATGTCATCATTCACAATGTATGCTTCTAATTTACCGGAAATTCAACTTACGATCTTCTAAGCCTCAAGTCATGGTCACACATCGACATTTCTATGACAAAAATTACAAACTAACAGCATCAACGATCGTACAGGAAAAATACAAACTGTGTCATCCACTAACACCATTATTCAGCATCCCTCGAGCGATCACCCAATCCTACTCCTTCCCTATGACCAACAATGATCAACTACCTACCACGTCATACAGTCGCTGGCATTGCGACTTCCTGAAATGGTTTTCACTTTGCCCACCCCTAAAAACACTATCGACTCGTCAGTACCCACCCATCAGCCGGGCCGACCTGAAGGATTAGGTAACCGACAGAGTGTTATAAGAAAAAGTGCTCCCCGAGATGAAACTGATCGAACCAGAGCCAAGCGTGCCAGACTTTGGCAATCTCCCAACCGAAGTGAGTTGTCTTATGTCAACAGGTTTTCTCTTATTTCAAACTGATCTCCCTTATACCACCGCCCATCAGCTGTTGGTTACGATCTTCAAGTACCTCTCGCCGGGGGATCGCAACGCCGCCAGCTACACCTGCTCGAAATGGTACGAAGCGTCCAAGTACCTTGGGTTTGCCCGGCAGATGGTACTGCATCTGGTGGGGGTCGAGTTCGATGACTGCAAACCACCGGTTGCAGACTTGCTGCAGAGCCCGCACGTCTTCCCTGTACTGAAGCTGACCCGCGTCAGGCTGCAGCAATCGGTGTACAGCCAATTTTGGAGGGACTTTGGCCCAGCGATCAGTGAGATCACCTTCGAAAAGTGTATGATCTGGCGGGAGCGGATCATCAAGGTGCTGAAGCATATGGACAACTTGAGGACGGCTCGCTTCATGGAATGTGATCTTCTGAGGGATGATCTATTCAAGGAATGGAAGTACATGGAGAATGGCGTGCTGGAGACTCAATTTCAGAGCATTCAGACGTTGAGTTTGGCGAAGAATAACTTCACCGAGTTGCAGTTCGGAGCGATCGTGGAAATGATGCCCAACTTGGTGGTTCTGGATTTATCCAACTGCTTCAGCTACGTTGACTCGGCGAGCAAGACACTGATGTTGAACTGCATTCTGAGGTTTGTTCGCGATAGACAGTGTACGCTGAAAGGGTTGATCTTGAATGGAATTTCGCTGGACGATCTGTTCTTGCGGGGCCTTTGTAAAGCACAGGATTTACGACTGGAAAGCTTCAGTATGATGTACCTGGAAAAGATGCCACTGAGGGATCCAGCGATCATTAACTTTCTTCGACAGCAAACGGAAATGCGAGTCTTGGATTTGTCCCAATCAACAGGAATCACGGATTTCTGTCTCGATCAAATTGTAAGGTACATGACCAAACTGAAGATTTTAGACCTGACGGGCTGCTGGAATGTGGGTGACTATGGCGTGTCACAGATCTTCCGATTGCAAAATCTAGAAAAGCTGGATCTTTCCCAGTGCCGAATTACAAAGAAAGGAATCATCAATGGATGTGCATACTGTAATAGAAAAGTTCTGAAGGAACTACACTTGGAGCTGATCAACACCCTGGACGATGACTGCGTCGTGAAGATCGGAGCAAATTTCACATACTTGACTGTATTGAACATCGGAGGGTCATCATCTTGCATGACTGATTGGTCGGCTCAGTACATCTTCTACAATCTAACCTGCCTAGAGGATGCCAACTTTGAACGAAGCACAAAGGTAATTACCAAATTTCATCGTAAGTACAAGTTGATTGAGGCAAATTTTCCTGCCCTAATAAAATCGCAGTGAAAATAGTTTCACTGCCAGTGAAGAATTCAATTTAAACCGCGGTGATCGTGAAATTCCCAACTATTTCAGAGCCGGCTGGCTAGTGAATCGGTTTGTTACTCAGTATTATCCAATCGCTTGCTTAATTCGTTATTACAAAATGAAATTCAAGTGTGTTGAACCTGACTTTTCGATGCTACCAACTGAAGTAGGTCAATTGGAAAGTTTGTTTTATATTCACTCTGTAATCTAAAAAACTTCTACAATGCAGCTTTTGGTAAAGATCTTCAAATACCTCCCGGTAGCCGATCGCAGTACTGCCAGCGTGGCCTGCTGGCACTGGTACGAAGCCTCCAAGTATCTGGGCTTTGTCCAGAAGATGTGCCTGCATTTAATAGGTGTAGAATTCGACGACTTCAAACCTCCAGTGATGGATCTCCTACAAAGTAGCTTCTGCTTTCCAGTGCTCAAGCTTACCCGCGTCAAGCTCAATGTCTACAGCAAGTTCTGGGCTAAATTTGGACCCTTCGTTCAGGAGATCACCTTCGAAAAGTGTATGATCTGGCGCGAACGGATCATTTCGGTGTTCAAGTTCATGCCAAACCTTCGGATAGCTCGGTTCGTCGAGTGTGACCTGCTGCGAGATGATTTGTTTAAAAACTGGAAATTCTTCGAGAACGGAGTCGTCAAGATCTACTTTCCAAGCATCGTACATCTCAGCCTTGCAAAAAACACTTTCAGCGAGCTGCAGTTTGACGTCATGGTTGACATGATGCCAAACTTGACCGAAGTAGACTTCTCCAACTGTTTCCGAAGTGTGGATTCTACTCGGAAGGCGCAGCTCTTAAACTGTATTCTAACGTTCATCCAGCATCGACAGAACGATTTGAAAAGCCTTAACCTTGGTGGTGTTCCAGTGGACGACATATTTCTTCGAGGCATGGTGAAAGCACGAGGACTTTTGATGAAACAGCTTACATTGACATACCTGGAGAAGATCCCGCGGAAATTACCAGCGATCATTGATCTTCTACAGCAGCAAACGGAGATTGGCGTTCTTGATCTGTCACAATCCACGGGAATCAACGATTACTGTATAGACCAAATTGTCCGAAATATGACAGGCTTAAGGATAGTAAGATTAGCCGGCTGTTGTGGAGTTTCCGACTACGGAGTAGTGCAGTTATTCAAACTTCGTAAGCTGGAAATAGTAGATCTTTCCAAGTGTCGCATTACGAAGCGGGGAATCATTGATGGGGCAACCAACAGTTCCAAGACTACTTTGAAGGAGCTTCATCTGGAGTTGTTGAGTCCTCTGGATGACGAATGTATAGTAAAAATTGGTTCAAGTTTTTCCAACCTAACGGTTTTAAACATGGGAGGGTCCGCTTCTTGCATGACTGATTGTGCTCTTCAGCACATTTTCTATAACCTTACCAATCTTGAACACCTGAATTTAGAGAGAAGTACCAAGGTTAACTATCCATTTCACCCCATTTAGAACTTCGAAGTCTAATTTTAACACTACCATTACAGTTGACGGACGCCGGATTCACCGGAATCGATCTACCGCAAAAGACGTTTGCCATCTGGGATATCGAGGAAACATTCTCCATTGATCGATTGAAGAAGCTACGCGTTCTTAAAGTTTCCGGATGCTATAAACTCACGGACTTTTCGTTGAGGTATGCCTTCCGATTTATGGAACTGAAGGAACTAAGCCTGTCCAGATGTCATCAGGTGAGTTGATGAAATGTTCTATTTTCGGAGAATGAGAAACGTGACGTACTGTATGTAATCCTGCAGATCTCCAAGCAAGGTATCGAGAAACTCGTGACCAGCTGCCCCGCTCTGGAGTATTTGGATCTTAGCGAATGTCCGAACATCAACGACTACTGTATCGAGTTGATCGCGCAGAACTTGAAACGCATAACCACGCTGAAGTTGGCCAACTGTCCGTTGATCAGCGAAGTGGCACTAAGCTATCTGTCGCAGTTCTGCAAGTACTTGAAGGTTCGGATTTCTGGTGGTCTGTGTAGTTATAAATTCATTGCAACTAATGTTTACATTCTTTACAGTACCTGTACGTGAGGGGCTGCTTCAAGCTACCACCGGATATCTCGGAACGATTGGCCAACATTACTACGCTGAGACAAGTGTACAAATCTTGAGTTCAAACAATTACCTTACCTTATGTTACTCTGTATATTTTGTCTTCTATTCGTTAATTTTAAACCCTGAATAAATCGCAATTTGTTTGTTACAACAAAGTCATTAATTATCTCGATGATACAATCCAGGTCCTCTTTTTCTTGTGCTTCACCATAGACCGATGTTATCCCAATAAGCCAATCTGCATCCAATTGTTTCCAGTTCCTGCAACTTTTCGTGACGAGCATGTGCTACTCAGGATAGTGTTTTACGGTTTTACGAACATATAATAAGCATTAGCTCAAAGCGAACAAAATGACATCTCCCGACACGAATTCACCCTTAAGGAGTAGAGTGTCGTTAATATATATAAAAAAATAACTGGTAGGGATAAGGTCTCATTTCCGTCATACTAAGCACAACCCGCACTTTACCTCTCTCTTACGATCTGGTTTGAACAAATAATGGAATATTGCTATCAAATAATTTATGTACCTTTCCATACGTAGCATTAGGTTTGATAAAGAGTTACAGATTGTTGAGATATTGATACAAATCAAGCATCGCTTCTTGGCTCCAATTCCGCCACTACACATTGAATTGCCATTGAATTTACTTAGACATACGAATGAAAGGAGAAAAATGTATTCGCTAGAAGCGCTTCTTGTGTTTTCGAGAAGAATTGATGTAAATATTCATATTATGCGTTCTTATAGACTTTCCTTTGTGGCTTTTGAACTACACTATCGTACCGAGCGTATCATTGAACCGTTCACGTCGAAATCATTGATACAAGCGATTTTTTCTGATATAACGGAAATGGGCACCTATGCCAAAGTAGTGCTCTACCCTATCTGTTGAGTGTCCGGGTAACTACAATTCATCCTACAAGTATGCAATTACAGCTACACCATTCGAACAAAAGAAAACATTGTAACTATTTCTGGCGAGCATTTCACGTGACGTGCGTCAGCTGAAAACACCAACAGTTACCACCAAACCAGGATGTTTGTATACACCAACTATCAAGGTAAAATTGGCACGCAAAGCACAAACAAAGACCCGTTTCGCAGATCTTCGTGGAACTCACTTCCCTATGCTCGGCTCCCGACCCGAATTCCACCGTCTTATTTTTACTTTCAACGTTCCTTTCGCCCAAGTTATATCATTCTGATTTTCACTGTCGCCATATCAAGACCGGTTTGCCTAGCTCTCTAAACAGTACGGTTCAGCCTAGTATCAAACGCCGCCTATACCGCCAAGATGATGGACTTCTTCATATCTAGTAATCATAACAAGGAGCCTACTCCCGAACCTCAACCTGAACCGGAAAAGCCGGGTTTCAATGATCTTCCCATGGAGGTAAGCCACCAAAGCCCTTTGTTCTACCTAAGCTGCAACGCAATTAATCATACACTTCGCGAACTTTCAGCTATTGCTCAAGATCATGAAGATGATCTCGTTGGATGATCGCATCGCTGCAGGTGAAACCTGTCGTCGCTGGTTGGAAGCCACTCACTATTACACTCCATTCAACGAGAAACTAATCTTTAGATTTTCCAACATAAACTTCTGCGATTATGAGCCTCCAATCAAGAACTTCATAGAAGGCTTCAGGATCTTTCCGCGGATCGAAGCCAGTTCGGTAACCTTCTACGGCAATAGTGACTTCTGGCCAGACTTTGGCGAATACATCTTAGAGTTAACCCTCAAAAATTGCTTAATTCGTGATACGGAGCTCACCTGGGTTCTTCAGCATGTACCAAATCTACAGAAACTTACGATTGAGTCATGTGACGAGCTCTTCCGAACGTGGCATTTCGATAAGAAATTCCGCTGCTGTGAATCACACTTCTTATTGGAGCATCTACTGGACGTATCCCTGGCGAACAACGACTTCATGGAGGAGACGCACTTCAATTGGATTATGACCATCGCCCCAAACATTATCGAGTTAGATATTTCCAACTGCTTCAAAATGGTCACGGCTCAGCGACGTGTCGCAATGGTCGACCACGTCATGCGGTTCATCAACAATAAACGCTTTCAGCTGGAATCGCTCAAGTTCAACGGTACCCTATCGATCGATGACATCTGCCTAAGCACGCTGGCAATGCTGGATGGACTGTGTCTGGAGAGTTTGAGCTTGACATTCTGCGATAAGATCCCGCCAGCGATCATCGACCTACTGAGACGACAGCCCGACCTGAAGATCACCCAAGCTCTTCAGTTTAAAGTTAACAAGACCAAGAAAACCATCAAAACTCCTGGATTCATCAGCTTCCTCACCAGTCAGCCGGACCTCGTACATCTGGATCTAACTTCTTCGTTGGGCGTCACGGACGAGATAATGGAACTGATCACCAGTTATCTACCAAAGCTGAAAACCTTAAAACTCCGCCGATGCATCCTGATCACGGACGAAGGCATCATGGACATTGTCAAGCTCGAACACTTGGAAGTTCTAGATCTGTCCAACTGTGAACGAATCTCCGACCGGGCCATGTTTCACGGAGTGATCGGGCGAAAGATGAAACAACTAAAAGAACTGTACCTTTGTGAAATGCCCAATCTAAGTGACTATTCGTTGATCCAGGTGACGCTGAATTTCGAGTTGATCCAGATTCTAGACCTCAGCAGTTCACCGAATGCGGCCACCGATGCCACCCTCCAATACATCAACTTCTATCTGCTTCATCTGAGGACGCTGATACTGTACTGTTGCACAAAGGTGACTGACGCGGGACTTACGGGCATCGATCTACCGTACAACCCATTGGAGATTTGGGACATTTCCGAATCGTTTTCCATCGATCGGCTATTCAAGCTGCGGACGCTAAATCTAACCGGATGCTACAAGATCACCGATCTAGCGCTTCAGAAGGGTTTCAATTTTGGCGAACTGAAGGAGCTGCATCTGTCGAGGTGTTCGCTGGTAAGTTGGAAACTCACGCCGCAATGGTAACGCCAATGTGATGGGGTACTTTGGAAATCATTTATTCGTTATTCATTTTGCTAAAACTCCTTGATGAACTGCATTGCTGGAAAGTTAAACGATCCTTCTGGCTAAATTGGTGATGAAGGATTTAATGGTCAATCGGCTTTACTCGCCAAAGGCTAAATCATGGTGAATTCTGTCCAGGCAAGGGTTTTTATATCGTTAAAAAGGACGTCCACCATACTTCGTTTAATACTTTTTGTCAAACTTCAACATTCATACTTAAGTTTGATTTGAAAGCTATATAATGGATTCATGAAAGCCATAGGTAGGAATGCTTAGATTGAACTGTAACTGAAGCTAAAACTATTCCTATTTTCCATAATTTTGCATTTCTTTGGACTGGACGCCATTGCCATTAGGCCATTACAGTGAAAGTCATTATACCAAAAGACAATAGTGGAGTTTTGGAAGTGAAAGATTGAGCTTAGAAATTGTTTTACGATCATTGGAATTGGAAAAAAATATTGAGATCCAGCGAGAATAGTTCTTCATTTCAGGCTAATAAGCGTTAGCTCAGGATTTTTTCAAGATTCTGGCACTATTTTTCGAGATTTCAAACTAAGCTCCACTAGTTGGAAGAAGAGGAAGAAGAATTTATTAGTAATTTTCATTTAATTCCACTACCTTATTTGTTTCTCCTTAACGGATACTCCTTTGGTTTTTTTCCGTCGATCTTGTTTTCCGTGCTGAGCACCAATGCTACCGACGTGCCAGGAAGGCAGCTCCCACACCTGGACCCTACCTATCGACCCATCAACTCATGAACCGGGGACCAACGACTTTACTTCCCATCCGAAGGAAGGCGTGATCAGAGATGTTATGCCTCAAGAACATCCCGGCGGCGCCGACTGGGATTGAACCCAGGCCTGCTGGGGTGAGAGGTAATCACGCTTACCACTACACCACCGGCGCCGTTGTTAACGGATACTCGAATGTGCAGACTTTGTCAGTGTCTTGTACTAATACTCGACAGCAGTGCTGATAAAAATCGTTTCTTCTACACTTAACTTAGCTGAACAGCGCCGTTGTTAACTGCAGCAGGAGCTTGTGTTTTGTGTAGGAATATGAATTTGAGCGGGGTTCTCTCTGGTTATACTCTTTAGTATGACGCGCTTGACATAGATGGCCCACAGCGACTTACAGCGACTCACGAAGAGCTACTGATTCCGATCAATAGCGGTGCGGCTGCTTCCTCTTTGTATGGATGCTCATGTGAGCAGCAGCTCGCTGCTTGCAGTCAGCCTTTCGTTGTGTACTGGAGATCAATCAACAATCAATACGAAACTAACGATTTTAAATTGGCTCACTACTTGACTAGCCTATTGGTCCCAAGCAAATCGATTAACGTACCCCAATCTAGTATAATTCCAGTACTACACTATGTTTGTTTTGATTTGCTATGAAAGTTTGACAGATAAAATGAGGGGTTAGTGGATTTTCCTATGTTTCGAGGGGTGAATCGATTAGCTTGGGACCGAAGATAGTACCAGAGCTGAGCCAAAAAGTTGAGCTCGTTTCTGCGGGACCTTCTGGTCTTAGAGTTACCTCTATGGAATAATGTTCAACGCCACGCGCCGAAAGCACTGATGTTGCTCCTGATGCCGATGACTGGACACCACCACACACGGTGATTGGAACTGAATCCGATCAGCGGTTGAATCACTTTTCGCAGGCAATTGGTGATAATTTTTATTATCATAGCATTTCGTGCAATTTTCAACAGTGACAATTTGAAAATGATAAAGTCTAACTTACAAGATACGTAGAAATATTTCTGATCGATTGGTGATAAAATTATTGAAATTGGTCTAGGGGCAGCTGCGTTATTAACGTTCAAAATCTTTCAAAATTTTGTTACATGTTCCATTTTCAGTTTTCACAAAGTGTACTCCCATATAGAAAACACAGACGTAGTCCTACGTCAAAATGTTTGTGGAACATTTTCCAGTTTCTTTTTTTCGCAGTTTACAGTTCATGTGAAACGAAATCGATCAGTTTACACCTCCGGTGAAGTGAAAATCTGACAGATACGCTCTTTCTCGTCAACTTTTTGCTTAGCTGCTGCTCTTTTCGCTAGCGCTTCATGCGCGAAAAAAATAAACGTAAGCGAAAACGATACGATCCACAAAATTAGATTTCGCTGGATCGCATCTGTTTACAGTTCATTATTCATTAAGTGTTCATGATTAGTAAACATTGCCCGCAGCTTGTGTCACTTTTTCTCGAGTGAGTGAACTCAAATCCACCGGTGCACTCGTCCATTCGTTGATGTATAATGAACTCATTTGTTCATTTCGCTCGTACGTAACAGCGAAAATTTTCAAAACAAACGCAATTCATCTACACTGGGTTGAAGCGCTGCGCTACTGGCGCTACTCTTTGCTTGTGATGGTAAATGACACTGCTGGACAGTACAAGATATTGAAGAAATCTGCACATTGTAGACGAAATATGCGTATCTGTAAAAGATTATCAAATAAGGTAGTGGAATTAAATGGAAATTACTAATCCTTTTCCCCTTCTATATTCAGGTATTCCACTTAGACACCGAAATTCAACAACTATATTGAAGGTTTACATTAAATTAAATTTATTTAAATTTTACTATTTATGCAATCAAAATTTGCAAGCATAGTATAATTTTTTTAGAATCGTGGAAGATTATTTTGCATTCATAGTCTACTACACTAGACGTTCACTAACTGAAAGTTTTTAAACTGTAAGTCCACTAACGACTGTGTTTTAAATGAAAGCCCAATAACTAAAAGAAGTTTCAGTTAAAGGACATTTATCGATATAGGGTAAATGTCGGCTTCGGCACACATTGACTGTTTTCGGCAACCAAAATTTAAACGATAATTTAACTATGTTTTCCCAACAACACCCTTCCCTGAATGTATCCAAACGATTCTTTAGTCTTTCAGCTTCAATCTGATTATATTTGTACGTCCGAGAAATCCTATTATGCCAGATTTTTCTTCAAATGAAGCATACGCACTACAAAATTGGGCTGATTTCGAGTTGCCGATAATAGAACAGCTGGTTAACACGCAGTTCTAATGGGACGGTTGCCGAAGAAAAAGAGACTGCCGACAATAGTCACACTCACCTGAGAAGTTTGAAGCGTTGTAAAAAAGCTTTCAAACCGTTTTGAAAAATTCTGTCGATTGGAATGGATAGAGAAGCAAGTAGCAGATGAATATAAACAAACAGACACGTCATATATGTGCGTGACGCTGAAAAAATTCTAATAGAAGTGCGGACGCTGCTTAGATTGACGAGAATACGTAAATTCCCCTATCTGTCAAGTTCATGTATTGAAAAATGTCAAGATTAACCAGATGAACATGAGGATGAACATTGATGCATTTAAAATGCATTTGACAGTTGGTTTGACACATGAAATGCATTTCAATTAGAGAATGCCGTTCGCTAAGTGAAAAGTACTCACCTATGTCAACATTTCAAAAGAGCGAAATTGCTTTTGTAAACATTGACTATATCCGCCCATTTCTCGCGAAAAAAAAGCTGAAACTTGCAAAGTAATGACACCAAGAGTGAAACCATAGAGGTAACTCTAAGACTAGAAGGTCCCGAAATAACATGCTCAACTTTTTGGCTCAGCTCCAGTGCTGTAAATTCTCAAAATCATTTGAACTTTTTTGATGAAAATGAGAAAAGTAGCTATTCGCTATCAAAGGTTATCAGTTGCTTAGTCATTTGACGAAGGCATGGATCATTCTCATTTGAGAAACGCTATATATCATTCGATTGAGTGTAACCTACACACAAACGGAGCTCTGGTCGACATTCCGGCGAAAAAGCTAAGCCAACCCGACACCAACCTGACTTCTATCAAACCCCAACCCGATGTTGATCCGACATTGAACCGACATAAACTTAAAATTGACCCGACATTAACACGACATTGGGTCGACATCGACCTTAAATTAGCCTTACATTGATCCGACATCGGGTCGACTTGTCTGTTCGGGACCATTTTGCTGGATTTCTTTCATACTCCACTGTCGTATATCAAATGATACTGAGTGACTCAATTGACAGTGACAATGAGCTTCGAATGAGAAAGGGGCTCTTCAAATTATGGTCATGTGAGAATTCGTTTACACAGAATTGATTGAATGGTTGTAGTGGTTCATCTTCAATCGAATGATATGAAAATTTACAGCACTGCTCAGCTCTGGTACTCTCTTCGGTCCCAAGCTAATCGATTCACCCCTCGAAACATAGGAAAAAACCAATAACCCCTCATTTTATCTGTCAAACTTTCATAGCGAATCAAAACAAACATTGTGTAGTACTAGAATTTTGACTAGAATGGGGTACTTTAATCGTTTGCTTGGGACCGATAGGCTAGTCAAGTAGTGAGCCAATTTAAAATCGTTAGTTTCGTATTGATTGTTGGTGAAACCAAGCCTACCTATTGAACTGTCAAACCGGCTACCTATCGTGCAAGCTTCATGAAAAGTATTGCAATAAAATATAAAATACTATCGTAGAAATGATCATAAACACGCAGTGAGCCTGGGTGTAAGTCACTCTGCCACCTTGTGTTAACACCCACAAAAACGCACTGTGACACTCTCAGGGGGTAACTTACTCTGCCACCTTGTGACTGTGCAAATTGTGTTTTTGGATGTTTCAGGGTGTTTCCATAGAGGTAACTCTAAGACCACTGGGTCCCGAAGAAAATCATTATTATTTTTGGCTCACTCAGTACCAGAACAACGGTCCCAAGCAGTCCCAAGCTATTTCACTCACCCCTGCATGTTCTGCATGAATCCACACACCCCTGATGTTATCTGTCAAACTTTCATAGCGAATCAAAACAAACATAGTGTAGTAATAGTATTTCAACTAGAATAGGGTTCGTTAATCGTTTGCTTGGGACCAATAGGCTACTAAAGTGGTGAGCCAATTTAAAATCGTTAGTTTCGTATTGATTGTTGGTGTTTCTGTGTCGAACGAGCTGTCAAAACGTCAAGCGGCAACATACAATGTTTAATGGCAACCATAATTTCCACAACGCTGAAAATGACAGATTCTCCTGCGATCTTGACGATGACGATGGGTCTGTAGCTGTTCACTCGTATGGTAAAATCCAATAAGCAAACGTCAGACTGTGCAAGAAGGAAGATTTTTCGACGGTGCCATCAACACCAATGATACGGATGGACAAACTACATTTGAAGACCCACGACTTGGTGTACCTAAACCTGGGTTTAGACAGGGCAAGTCAATTCAGTGCCAACATTTCAAAGGGGCGTAATTGCTTTTGTAAACAATGACTTTAGCCGTCAATTTCTCGCGAATGAAATCTTACCTCTCCAAAATTACAATGCTAGCTGGTAGAGGAAACATTCATCTACCTGCTGGTGTCATTATTTTTCATGAGTGAGCTTTTATTCGCGAGAAATCGACGGCTAAAGCCATTATTTACAAATGCAATTACGCCCTTTTGAAATGTTAGCACTGAATTACTCAAATCAGTTGAATTCAACTGACTTGAACGCAAATTGAACGTGTAAACCATGCCATTCAACTGAGTGATCAACTCACTTGAATTGAAAAAACTTGAACCAGGCTCAACTTTTCAAGCCAATTGAATTCAACTGAGTTGATCATTTGACTTGCCTAGTCTAAACCCAGCTTAATGGTGGAAAAGCTGTCTACGGAGTTCCACGAGCCTACGATCGGCCCTTCTGATGGAAGCTCAGTCAATTCCGGCACTTCGCATCCCGTATCAAGATTACGGTACTTTGTTTGAAGACTCCTACCACCAAATCAGGCGACTACCAGCTTACGAACTACGGCGAAGGCTGTACATCATCTTCCGAGGCGAAGAAGGTCTGGATTATGGAGGCGTTTCGCGAGAATGGCTCTTCAATCCAATCCAATGTACAGTCTGTTCGAGAGTATGCCAACAAAAACAGATACAGTCTACAAATCAGTCCTGCCAGCTACGTTAATCCAGATCACTTGCATTATTTTGACTGTATTGGCCGATTTATCGCGATGGACCTGTTCGATGCCGTTCTACAAGCGAATGTTGAACAAGAAACTAACTACCAACGAATTAACGATATATTAAATGATTGACCCGAAGTTTTACAATTCGCTCATCTGGGTGCGAGATAACGAAATCGACGAGTTCGGCTTGGAGTTGTGATTTAGGGTGGATGTTGAGGTGCAGGGGCAGATTAATCATCACGAGTTGAACGAGGAAGGCGATAAGGAACGAGTTATGGAAAAAATAAGAAGGAGTACATTTCATCAACCAATCGTTCTAAATATTTTAAAATTTGATAGGGGAAACGCTTCAATAGTTGCGGTACGTTAGAAGCGTTAGGTTCATATACACGGTTAGAAAAAAGTACCCAAAATTAAGTTCTTTTCACTCATCTCGGCACTATAGTGAAGGAACCCAAAAGTAGGTAAAGCGGCTCAAAGTAATTTTAATTTACTTGTGTGCAATTCGTATGGAATTTTCCACTGGCTTTTTAACCAAAAGTATGTTAGTTGTACCCAACAGTAGGTAAATATGATTATACTCAACGTTGGGTTCCCACACTTTACTACCCCGGTTGGGTGGTTTTGCTCCTCCGTTTTTGACAACATTAGAAGGAGAAAAGGAGACAAACTAGTCAAAAGTAGGTAAAAGTGAACTCTCCGTTGGGTACTTTTTTCTTACCGTGTAGTTCTGCATGGAGTCTCAATACACAACTATAGGAACCTAACGCTTCTAACGTACCGCAACTATAGGAGCGTTTACCCTAGGTTAGATTGGTTTGTTTGCTCATTACGCCTTTTTAATGCACCACCAACGTAGAGTGCGCCACGTGAGTTCGAGAAGAAACGTCAACCAAACCGTTTGTTTACATCAGAATAACAATTTTTCACAACGCAAATTAATGCATTTTTCATTCAACATCTTGCCAATTTCTATCGATAATTGTCTTATTGTACGATTTTCCACAGATCTGAACTGATTTGTACCTTAACTATCCACACACAAGAAATCCGGAAGATCATAACCACTAAGGCACTTTTCTAATTTTCCATATTTCGCAACAACAATATTCCTTTACACCAGCAGGATGTTTGCAAAAGCGTTATAGAATTAAATTTTTCAGCTGTCGATTAAGTTTTGGAGCATCTCAGATGAGTCAATTTATCAGGAAAAGTTAAAAAGTGTTCCGCTTCCTACACTCAAAGATAAATTAAATAAAAAAAAGCTTTAAAAGTATGCAGATTCCCGCTTCACCTTATTGAGTCCGACCCATGATTACTTCGGCAGTAGTCATGCATGATTAAAATCGAAATAATCTTTCCAGTATTAAATCTTATGCTTTTTCAATACTGATATATAGTCAAAAAAGATTAAAATTCAATCAAAATTTATTAAAATAGAATCAAAAATGATTAAAATTTATTCAAAAAAAGATAATCTACAATCTAATCAATCATGATTTAACTGGGATTAATATCAGATGCTTATTATTTAGAAAGAGAGGATTAATTTTTAATCATTCGATATGATTAAACTGAGTTTAATGTCAAATTGATTAAATTTCAAGCAAAATGGGAATAGTTCAATTTATCAGTGTATGTCTCAAACTCTCAAGGCAAAAATTTCTGTTCACAACACTCTTTTTGACGTTCTCCTATTCACCACCAGAGTCTGAATCGATCGTTAAGTTCCCATTAAAAAGGCCTTTAGAGTGGTTCAGAAAAATAAAAAAAACAGATCATACTGTCAAAGATGCATGATAAAATCAGCTCATGGATTGGGCTATTATAAACAGCACATGATGTAAACAATTTTGAAAGTGGTGAAATGGATGAAAAATTATCTTTTATGTGGTGGCAGCCAATGGTGACAAGGTGTTTGAAGTGTGTCACAGCGTGTTTTTGTGGGTGTTAACACAAGTTGGCAGCACAGGCAAACAGACATAGTACTCACAATCACATTCATCGCAAATAAGGTTTTAGCTGGGAATGTGCTCGCATTTGACATGGTGGCGCAACTGAAGCGTTAAGTAAGCTAACACATTTCGAACTTATCAGTGTCAGCTCTTGAAAATGATTAGTGGCCAAGGCTGGAGACACACCACACCTGTCGAATACAGAAAAAGTTGTTAAATATTACATCCAAACTGCTGTACATTGGTCATTCCGCTTTTGTAATATTACACTGTACGATGTTCACAGAATTTGACAACAAATCGTTTTGATGACTGTAATATTCTATCAACTATTACCATTTATTGATGTTCAATTCATCAACATGATTATCACTGATTGATACATACTATATTTGTTTGCTGTGTACACATTAAAGTAATGAGCGGGGTAGAAATGGCACTCATTAGTGATGCATTACCACGAAGGTAGGTATGAAAACTTGTTGCAAGCAAAATAAAAATCGATCTAAATAACCAAAACAAATCCATAATAAAAGTTTGAGCTTCTGTGAATATCTTCTACGGATCCGTATTTCTGCAAAGTTCAATCAAACCGACATCATTGGCTTCCATCTGTTTTGTTTTTATTCAACACAGGTGGTGTGTTGACAGATCGAGGGAAAAGCAACTAGTGGAAAAAATGCATGAACTAGGGATGCTCCGGTTGCAAACCAATGCTTGGGAATGTGCTTGCAAAATATGTTTGAAAAATTTCCTTCTAAGAATTTTGTCTGTTTGTGGTGTCAGAGTGACTTACCCCCTGAACCAACGACCAACAATCTGAGACTTCCTTTATTTCCGGAAAAAATGAGAGACATTAAAGTCATGAAGACCAGATCTTGAGTGAGGACAATACAGATAGCAATTCGTATGTAGCGATAAATCCCACTGTAATTTCTATTAAATTTGTTGTCAGAAACAAAACGCTCTCAAAACGTCGGTTTATGACAACAAATTTTATCAATACGTAGAAGCAATATGTCAGACTTGGTTGGTTGCATTTTTGCTATCTTTAAACAGCCGTTTCGCAACTCTTCGATTCGCTGTAGAGCTTGAATATGCTGTTGATTAGTCCCAAACCATAGGTTTATATAGATCGAAATCTGAAAAACCATTCGTACCCATAAAACCTACCTACAACTTTCGTACCTAGAGATATGAATGGAAAAGGTCTGTGATTTTAAGAAATACATCTGAGTAAAAGTCTCAGTGGCCGTGTACAAATTTACTATTTCAACTGTCCATGGCTTCACGACATCTGGTTTGAATCCCGCCTTGACCCTAACCTCAAACTTCACGCACCCAACCTACTCCAATTTATCCCTGGTCACAGATTCTAATAAACTCTAGTGATGATCCAGCCTACGGTTGAAAATCATCTTAATAAAGTTTAAAAAAAAATCAAAGCTAAATCTAATAACTCTATGGACGTTCCCAACCTACCGCACAGATCACGGAAGTGGGCATTGCCGAACTGGTCCGGAACAACAAATCCATCGAGTACCTGGAGCTGAGCGAGTGTCCCAACATCAACGACTACTGCATCGAGCTCATCACCGCCAACCTGAAGCGCCTGAAAACTCTCAAGGTTAACAAGTGTCCCCTGCTCACGGACGACAGTCTGTGCATTATCAGTCTGAATTGCCACTACCTAAAGGTATTTAGGTTTATTTTTCTCCCCCCATCTGTGTTTGTTCCTGAGAGGTAAAGTTTTAACCGTTTCTAAGTTCTATTCCAGCATGTTTCGATGAGTGGGTGCTTCAAACTGAACCGGATCGAGGAACGGCTCTCCCGACTGCCGTCAATCAAAGTGGTCGATACTAGGTAGAGTGGAGGACTCAATTGATTGCTTACCGTTTTGTATCGTTCACCTCTATGTTTGAATAAATCACAAAAATAAAAGTCTTGTTCTAAATTTAAACCGTGAGTACAAATCACAGTCAAAACAAATACCGCTGATGCAATGTGATCGGGCGGGCGGTGTTAGTAGCGCCTCTTTACACCGATCGAATGTATGTCAAAAGCAGGCTACGATCAAATTCTGGTTTTTCACTATCAAGATCACGTTGTCCTCGAGCACGCTCGTTTCGTTGGGTGATTTGGGCTTGTAAACAAAGTGGATACCGGTAGTGGCGTCCTCCCGAATGCGCATGCTCAATGATCCTCCTCCAAAAACGTTATTTGGATGTCCAAGAAAGTAGATCACTTTCAAGAGAACGATCGATGCGCCATCTTCGTTGGTTTCCTGCACACGAGCACGTCAGGATACGTTGTTAAGGTCTAATTTTAGTGGATATGTTGTTTTCAAACTTACAAGTCGAGTCGAGGTGATCGGACGTGATATTTGCGCAACAGAAAGAGTGAAGCTTTAGGGAAAATTTATAACCCGCAGTTCAAGATGCAGATGATGCTCGAGAGTTATTTCAATCTTCACTATTATGGATATGGAAAAGAAGAGTATATTTCCGATTCCGATGGCTACGATACGGAACCTGAAGTGGAAAAGAAGAAGGAACCTGAAGAGGAAGTGGTGAATCGTGAATTTCCTTTCGACGATGACATTATCTACATAAACCTCAAAGGTCCGAGAGTAAGAACGGGCTGGGATAATCTTCCGATGGAGGTGAGATTTCCAAAAACCTACTGTAACTTAACCTGAACATTCAATAGTGCCCCTTTTCCGTTAATACTTCCAGATTCTTATTCGAATCTTCTCCTCCATCAGACCGAGTGATCGCAACTCGGCGGCACTCACGTGCCACCGTTGGTTCGAAGCTCTGCGCCATCCGATGTTCCTCGATGAGACCTGTTTTCACTTTGAGTGCATCGAGCTTTGCGACAACAAGTCACCCATCCAGATTTTCCTGGATAGCTTCCGGCACTTTACCAACATTAAACTAACGCGGGTGCAGTTTAGCGGCCAAACCGAGTTCTGGGACTACTTCGGAGTGCACATCCGTGAAATAACGTTCGACAACTGCGCACTTACCAAACCAAAGCTGTCGAGCATCCTGGGCTGTTTGCCAAATTTAGAACGATTAAATATAGTCGATTGTGACGAGCTGTTCAAGAGTTGGCACCCTGTGATCTTTCAGAATATATCTCCGATCTGCAGACGCCTCAAGCATGTGGGCTTACGCAAAATAAGTACCTTCAATGAAGATCACCTGAACTACCTAGTAGCGATGGCTCCTCGGATATCGTCACTGGAAATTTCCAAATGCCTCAAAGATGTGGATGCCAACCAGCGAGTGAAGATCCTATCTCACATACTTCGCATCCTAAAGCTCAACAAACATCAAATGCGATCGGTCAACTTTAGCTACACCATGTACGATGATCTTTTCCTGAAGCAGTTTGCCGAGATCGAGAACATGTCACTTAGCGATATCAGCTTGTCATTCTTCGTGCGAACTCCGATCAAGGACCCCGGCATAATCGACGTCCTGAAGAAACATACCAATTTGGTGCACCTAGATCTGACATCGTTCCTGAATCTCTCCGATTTTGCTCTGATCGAAATCGCCAACTCAATGCCACTGCTCAGGACTTTGAAACTGAACGGTTGCTGGCTTTTGACCGATTTTGGAATATCCGCTATCAACAAGCTACGAAAATTAAGAGTCCTAGATCTTTCGGATTGCGATCATGTTACGGATAATGGCTTTCTGACAGCGATTGTCGATAGGGACAGAGCTAACATGCAAGAGCTGTATCTCAGCATGCTTCCGGGGTTAACGGAAAATGTGATCCTGAAGATCTGCCTAACGCTGACTAAGCTAACGGTGTTGGACTTTTGCGGATCGGATTGCATCAACGATACGTCGATTCAGTTTGTCTTCTGCTACCTTAAGTTGGTTCGGATTCTACGATTGAATGGATGTGTTAAGGTATGTAAGGGTCAGTTCACATTATAGGTGGAATCTTAGGTAATCATCAAATGGTGAAATGCTTCAAGGACGATTCAGCCTATAGTCACTATATGCATAGTCTAGCGGATACAAAACCCTACGAACTGGCAACTTTGGATTTGGCACTCCGTGAAAATGCTCAAGGCAATTCAAATTTGGAAGTAATTTCCAAGAGTAGTCTTTTCCAGGGCAAGCCAGAAGAAGCTAGGAAAAACCTTCCAATATAAGTAGGAATAAAAATCTAACGGATAATGGCTGATGGAGAAACTTTAAGGATGGCGATAGAAACTTGTAGGAGAATTTGATAGAAGAAACTTTTTGGAAACACTGGAAGAAACTTCCTAAGGTAGATTGGAAGAAACTTCTGGAGAAATTCGGAAGCTAGAGGGCTTATGGAACAGTCGAAAGAAGCTTCAAGGAGAATTTTGGAAAAAAATATTTCTGGGGGATTTTAGCACAATAGCAGTTTTTCTGATATTCACAAATCATCCCTGAAGACCCCGCATTGTCCCTGAAATTTTCAAAACATTCCTGAAATACAAATCCTCGGAACTCCTTGCAAGTTCTTGCATCCTGAAGTGGTTGGGGCTGTTTTGAAGTATTCGGATCTTCACTGATTATAATGAAACTACCGGAACACATCTAATCTTTTTTGAAGGTCTCTGGATTTTCATGAAGAATTCGGAACTTCTTTAGCGCTCTCACAATTTTCTTGAATTTAATGAAACATCAGCATTGAAGTTCTCTGATCTTCTCGATTTTTTTTTTAATTTTTAGACAAAAAAAATCACAATTATTGTCTAAAGTTCATGTAACTTCCCTTACATTTCCAAAATTTTCATGAACCTCTCTGAACTTTACTGAAGTTTTCGGAAAATCTCTGAGTTTCTCGGAACTCCTTTAAAGTTTCAGTAATTTCCTTGATATTAATTGATCTGTCCTGTTGTACTCAGAGGTTCCCTAAAGTTATCGCAATGTAACTGTCCTGAAAACCATTAAATTTCCCTGAAGTTCTTTGGACTTGTGATGTTCCCAAAACTGGACTTTCCTGTAATTCCCGGCTTTTCGAATTTTCACAGAAGTTAATTAAACTGTCTTAAATTTATCGGAACTTACTCTTACAGATTTTAAAATTTACAAAAAAGTCTGAATTTATCGGAAGTTTCAGAACTTCTTTGGGATTCCTGCAGTTTTTTCTCAAGCTAATGGAACCACATTAAAACAGTGGAAGCATTCCTGACGTTTCGTAGAAGCCGAAAACACTGGCTAGAGAAGACGGAAGAACCTTTCGAGTGAAGCCAGAAGAAGCTTCCAAGGGAAGTCGAAATAACTTTCCGGGAGGAATCGGAAAAATAAATTACGGGTTAAGGCAGAAGAAAGTTCCAGGGGATAGTTGGAAGATACTTGCAAGGGAAGATTAAATAAACTTCAGGAAGTGATAGAGTTAACATTTTGAAGGACCTATTTGATCACTAAATAAAAGTAGTTCCCGATTCCCAGGAATCACCGGAATGAGCCATCAGCTGTTTTCCGATTCCTTGATAGCCAGCATCGGCGAGGAAATGGAAGCATTAGTCGAAAGAGTATCATTTTCGATCATTGGCGTAGCTACTGGGGGTGTCAAGGGGCCAGGCCCCCTCCAGAATTATCGAGCCCCCCCCCCAGAACTTTTGATGTTTTTTATTCACCGGTATTTTGTCATGCTTGTCAAGTTCGATGTTACTTATCTTTTTTTAAATTCCTTTATGTTGACTACTTTTCTTACGTTCTGGACTAGAAGAAGCAATTTTGATAAATTATATTATATCGATATTGGTAATGAGTCCAGGGATTTTTCTTTAACTTCTGGAAACTTTGTAAAACTTCAAGGACTTCTAAAAAGTTCAAGGAACATCGCAGAAATTGAAGAAATTTATTAGAAATTTTGGGAACTTCATAGATCTACAGAAAAATCGTAGAAACAAGAAACTTGAAAAAGTTTTGAAAACTGCGTAGAAGTTAAGGGAACATTATTTTATTTCAGGGAAGCTCATTGTTGATTGGGAACCTCTATATAATTTCAGAGCATTTTTTGAAGCCTCATGGTCTTGGAATAGTTGTGGATATTACGTACAAGTGCAAGAAATTTCTTTCGTGGAACTTCACGGAAAATCATCGAGAAACGTAGAAGTACAACAAACTTTGGAGAAGTTTTGCAAATTTCGTAGCGTTTTGAGGAGTTGCATAAAACTTCATATAAGTGTAAGGAATTTTGAAAAAAATCAGTAATTTTTTTAGTTCAACAAACTTCTAAGAACTTCAGGGATCCTCACTTCAGTATAGAGAACTTCGTTGCAGATTGTCAGAGATCTGAATTCGAAAAAGCTTAATGATCTTCTTGGGGGGTTTGAGAACTTTGTTAAATTTCAAGGAACTTTCCAGATGTCCAAGAATACTTGTAGATGTCTTAGGTGTCTTTCCAGAAGTGCAAAGATGTTCAGATCTTCGTAGAATTAAGAGAGATTGACAAAATATGGAATTTGAAATAAGTTCAGGAAACTTTGTAGAAGTTGAGGAAATTTAGTAAAACTTAAGGGAGTTAAGTTACAGGTTATTCTTTCAGACATCCTTCCTAGACAGCAGGAAATATTCAAAAGATCTTCATATAGACAAAGATATTAGTAAAGTTCTCTTTGAAATTTTTCAGTTTGATCAAGCTCTGAGGATCTCCAACTGTTTAAAAATTTAATGTTCTTTCAAGACTGTAGGTTGTTCGGGATGTACCGTAATCCGGGGGAAAATTGATCACCAGGGTAAAATTGATCATAATGCGTTACATTATTAATTGTCACGTATAACATGGTTGGTGATAGATATCAAGAGAAATATTAAAAGTAGGTATATCATCATGAGACTCCAATGATTGCTTTGATGTATTTTTCCTTACAAAAAGAAACATTCTTTTCCTAACAAAAAGACAAAAAGAATATTGCATAAATTTCAATTTTATAGATCTGACGTTAAGTAGCATACAATATCAACATGCAAACAAATGATCATAGGACTGCAACGATTGATGTCATTACCATTCAAGTATCATGTTTTACTAAACTAAGTGTCAATGAATCCGAATTATTTTAAAAATTGCGGTAGAATGTTTCAAATATCAAGAATCCAGGGTTTCTTGCAAAGTTCCTAGTGATTTTAAATGAAATTGTCTACATTTAGGCGCAACTGTGCATTGAAGACATCTTTTTTGGCGTTTCTGTTCAAAACACTTTTCACACAAAGGCTTAAGCATCTAAATCGGTTTCAGGGAATCCACATTTAATGAGAATAATTACTAGAATTACTAGAAATGTACTGGGCAGCTATTTGAGGTGTTGATCAATATCACCCCATATCGATATTTACAAATTTAAAATTTCAAAAATTTCCTAATAATTAACAAAACAGCCAATATAATAAGAAATTATGCAGGACAATGGAGCCCTCATAACTGATTTAAATACCATTAGTTTTTCAATTTAGTTTATTGTAGAAATTTATTTATTTACGTTAAATAGTGATTAATTTATCCCCGGATTACGGTATTCAAAACTTTTCCAGCTAATTGAATCTGATGAAATCTTGAATGATGAATCTATATTTTCTGGACATGTTTGTACCACAGACAAACAGACGTAACTCTTTGAAAAACTTGTTCTTGAAAACTTAGTATCTCAAAACCCAAGAGAGAGGCGCCAGCTTGCTCTGAAGCCGATCACGTAAACGTCAATGCGAACCAGTCATGATCTGTCACTGCGAACCGAAATTTTGATTCAATAAAGTGGGGGAAGTATTGTTAATCGGAAAAAATTTGCGTATTGTTTTTTTTTTCAAGATAGTTTTTTTGAAATAGCAGTTAATGACGGTGCAGAATACAAATGTTTTTGGACGTTCGGCGTTTCTGTTAATTATTGTGAAGCAGGGAGACGGTGTTATTAGTAGTTTTCGCGCAAAGGATTTATTTTCCATTGAAATAGAGACAACTTGTAGGGATTGAAGTGAACAATCGTTACGTAATTGAAAATTGATTATCGTCTATCCACTAGAAGTATGAAAGTCGGAGCAAGCAGCAGTCATTTTGATGCCGAAAAAGCTAGAAGTCGTACCTAATGCACAATGTTGCTCAAGTATTCGTACGCTGCTACTCCGAGCTCCTAAAAAATAACCATTTTTTTGCACAATACATTGACTATTTGGCGACTACTGTGAAGGAGTGGGTGGTCTATTTCAGATTTCTGACTAAAATAATTGTTAATTTGTGAAATAAAGACATATTTATTGTGTTATCATATGGGTCATTCCACACCATGAGTGTGCACAGCCAAATAACCCACCTTCCCGGATTTTGAGCAAAGTAAACAAAATATATTTATTTCGAACTGACATTTTGAAAAATCTTTTAATTTTGTTGGTAAGACCCACTCTTTCGATGTTTTGAAAAACATGTCAGTTTTAAACGCCCGTATATCTTACACAGTATTTTGAATTATTTTTTTCCAGGAGATTTCTAAGAGTTATGATACATTAATACAAAAAATCTTAATAAACGACGTACTTATGTCAATCCAATCATAGGTCCAATACAAATCTTCTAAATTATGATCTTTTTGTCATAAATTGAAGCTTCACAATCAGTAACAATGTTGCTTGAATCGTAAAATTACAATACAGTCAACTCTCCTTGAGTCGATGTTCTATGAGTCGATATTGATCATATCATTTTATTTCATAGAATTCTACTGGAAAAAATTATTTCGAAACACCACATCTCGGAAATGCCTTATTTTAATGTAAATCAAAATAATCTGTAGAACACAATTCTGTTGAATAATCAAAGGTCAAGCTGTATAAATGCATAATAATTATTATTATTTTAAATTAAAAAGTGGATTGATAATTGTATTTTTAATGGATTTCTAGAGAAATTTCAACAAAAAAAATCTGACTTATAT